AGCATCTTAATTTTAGCTGTAGACAACCTGCCAGTGGTGCACGAAAGAGGAGGCCAAGGGGGGCCATTGTCACCCTACTACAAAAGCTAGCCCTCTTAAAGGGATGGTGCACCCAAAAATGAAAATTCAGCCATTATCTACTCACCCATATGCCGACGGAGGCCCTGGTGAAGTTTTAGAGTCCTCACATCCCTTGTGGAGATCGGCGGGGGGAGCGGCTAGCACACCTAATGGCTGACAGCGCCCCAGACTAATGTCCAAGAACACAAAATTGAAACCACAAAATATCTCCAACATGCTCATCCATAGTGATCCAAGTGTCCTGAAGCCCCGACATAAAAAGTTGTTTCGAAAAACGTCATTTGAACTCTGTTTTTAGCCTCACTGTAGCCTGTAGCTCTGACTGCTTCTCTGTGCTCCGCGCTCACGCGAGACCAGCAAAAGCATGTGCTTTGCTTACCCGTGTTTACATCATGTGACACGTGCACCGCAGGGGGAGACAACAGTAACCACAGTAGCTAAAAGATAATTTGCACTACGGTCTTTTAGCAAAGGACAGCTCAACATGTCTGAAGACTTTGAAATTGAGGAGGAACAGCATTTCTTTGTTGAGCCGTATTTGTTTGAGCCCAAGTATACGGACGCAGCTCATGAGCCTCACCCTCAGCCAGCCGCAGAATACCGGAGTCGAGCACTGGAACCCTGGTGGTGTAGTTGTTTCAAATGCAAAGCAGTGCTAACGGATGAGGAAAGTCTTTGCTGCTCAGACTGGGAATTGGCAATACCTGCACTTGAGAATCTGGACATCAGTACTGACAAGACTGCTGCTCTTCAGAGACCGTGCATCACCGATCACCCTGAGCGCGCACACGTGAGCATGAAGCACAGAGAAGCAGCCAGAGCTACAGGCTACAGTGAGGCTAAAAACAGAGTTCAAATGACGTTTTTCAAAACAACTTTTTATGTCGGGGCTTCAGGACACTTGGATCACTACGGATGAGCATGTTGGAGATATTTTGTGGTTTCAATTTTGTGTTCTTGGGCGTTAGTCTGGGGCGCCGTCAGCCATTAGGTGTACTAACCACTCCCCCCGCCGATCTCCGCAAGGGATCATGTGAGGACTCTAAAACTTCACCAGAGCCTTCCTCTGCATGAGGGTGAGTAGATAATGGCTGAATTTTCAGTTTTTGGGTGCACTATCCCTTTAATGGCCGTTCCTTGGCGAAAATAATTAGAGGCTGAAACTACGAGGCTGTGGCACACTCATTTTTAAAGCTAGTACGAATCCAAGGAATCCATTGGTACATTTTATGCTAGCTGTTTGGGAAGGGGGCTAATTAATGCTCTAAAGTTAGGCTAAATTTGGCAAGGGAAAAACTAGCAGGCTGGTTTTCAAGCTCTCACCTTGAGGTATCTGAATGAAAATGGGTTCTATGGTACACACACGTCTCCCCCAAACTTAAGAAGGCTTGTTCCCAGTAAATGTTTTTTTCCTTACAATCAGGGTTGGGAAGTAATTTAATACAAGTACCTTTTTTACGTTTTTAAAATACAACATATGAGTAACTGTATACAGTTACAGTTTAAATTGGTGGTATTCTGAATACAGTTACAGTTTAGAACTAGATTTCTTGAAGGGATTACTTGTTTTTGTTTATTTGCTATAACACCATGTCCTAACTGAACATGACATACGCAAGCGTCAGTTGATTTTATTGCTTTCTATTGGAATGTTTATTGAGTTGACATGAAGAATTATCTATATGATGCCTCCTCATGTAACTGCAAAAACCTAAATAAGATGGCAGCAGGCTGGTAAGGGAACGCCAGGGAGCTGAAAGTTTCTGGTAAATGACAGTCGCTAATAACAACCTACTTGCTGCTGGCTATACTGTATGTCATTTCCAGTAAATATCACAATATAAAACTTGTGTTTTCTGTTTAAAAAGTACAAATGTAGAGAGACACAAAGTACCCATCCATCTTTTTTACGTCTCTAGCTGAGAGCACAGATGATAGCTAGTCCACCTCACATGACAGAAGTGCATATTTAACATATGCAGTGTGAACAGAAGGTGATGCTCGCTTGTCATTAGGACACAGTGTGAAATTTATATGAGGTAGGCATTTCCCATAAGCAGATTTTTTTTTAAAAATGTGTGTGCATTGCACCTGCCACTAGACATTGGCAGAGGAGAGGCAAAGCCAGGACACTGTTGTGTGTTTTCCGCATGGAAATATAAGACCCAGATAAATGAGTTCTGCAAGACGATAAGAAGTATCCGAAAAGTAATCAAAAGTATTTAGAATATGTTACTTAAGGTTCATTTATGCTCCCTTTCCGTTTCCGTTTCAAACGTTGTAAACATCACCGTCCTCATACTTCCATGCACCCTTTATGGTGGCATAGATACAGCCGATAGATGGCACTAAAGAGCAGAGTCAAAAGTTTCAAACAACAACAAACAATGGTGACTCTGATGGTGGTCGTGATATTGTACCTTTAAGAAGAAGCAGCGTTGTAGACGGCGGTCTAGAATCTTTTTCACTGTATTACCAATTTGTTCAGTTTGGCCATTATATGAATTTCTTTGCCATCGCCTGCAGACAATATCTTGCTTGAACTACACTAAACTGCCACAACGATCTCTGGTGGTACTGCTCCATTTCATCCTTAGACGTAAGCTTTCAGAACACATGCACACATACAGACTAAATGAACGCAGAGTACAGACAGAAGGCTCTGTCCCTGTATCTAACATTGACGTAAATGGGTCCTCCATTTGAGTAATCTAATGCAGTGGCTCCCAACTGGTCCCTCTACAGCGTCCAGATTTCTTATTAGTCATTAGTTTAAGGTCCACACAGTTTAATACACTCAGCATCATATTTGTGTAGCACCATGTCGCAGAGCTACTGTAGTTTGCTGTCTCTGTCAAGTAGCTGTCCATTAATCACTCACTCTACAACAGGAAACTGCACTTCAAAATATAAGCTCTGTGCCTGAAAGTCACTGTTCTTGAAAATAAAGTGTGTTTTTTAAAAACCTGACATGGTCACGAGTCACTTGCTCAAAATGGACCTGTGATCCACTTTTGGACCGCGACCCATCAGTTGGGAACAACTGATCTAATGGAATACACCACAAATTACATTTTAGGGCATGTATGTAGTAATATGTAGTAGAACACGTTTTAAAAGTAACCCTCCCAACACTGCTTACAATCAATGCACTCCCCTAATGCGGAATTTATACTTCTGCCTTGAAACGACGCTGTAGCTATGGCGTAGACTCTGCGTTGACATGGAGCCTATACCGTAACCTATGCCGTAGCCTGATGTGCACCTCCCCAGAAATGTAACTACACATCGAAACCATTTCCCTCAGTGGAAACAAAGCTTTTATTTACTTTAATTTCACAGATAAGAAACAATAAAGTGTGAAGACAATAAAGCCTCCACAAAAATAGCATTTTAAGACTTGTGTGTAATTTATCCTTCAGGGATTTATACTTCGGGTTTCATATGAGCAGAGGAAATCTCTGCTAGTCCTCAGGCTAATTTATACAGTGTAAAATGCCATAGGCTTGTGCTAATAACGTTAGCATGTTGTATTTGTGTGGAAAACGTGTTTAGTATGAGACAGTTGTTTTGTCGGTGAACCTTGTCAGCTGTAATGGAGCCGAATTTTGTCACATTACCTTTGTTAAATGTTGCTGTTGTTCCTGGTTTTATATGAGTAGTAATCTCTCAAGACAGATTCTGCAATTTACATTGCAGAATCTGTCAGCAGCCCTGTGTGAAAGACAAGTACAGAGGGGGGGAGGGCGGCGCTTTGAGGTTGAACGATGCTGCGCTTTAGCCAATCACAATGGAGGGGGCGGGCCGAGACATGCAGGTGTCCCCAGGAAATGTGTACCTACAGAAACAGCAAGCTCCGCGTCCATGGCGACTGCTCCACCCAAAACGCCGTCTCGTCAACGTGAAAAACATGGACAACAGCACAACTTACAAGCGTTGTGCATCCACCAGCACACCTTCCACTCCTCATGACAGGAAAAAAGGGCATTAGCGGCAACGTTTTTACTGCCGTTTGGTTCGAGTTGCAGGTAGGAGTGTAACACTGGGGGCACCGCTGGAAGTGAAGGGGGTGAGCAATCCCCGAGGCCCCTGCACTTCCGTTAGTCGAAAATCTACGGGCAGTGCCTCCAGAGGTAAAGGAAGAAATTTTTTTTTTTTTAACCCATGGATTTCCAGATTGTATAAGTAGAGGAAAAGTACGCTAGCAGCTAGGCTAATTTATACAATGTAAAATGCCATAAGCTTGTGCTAAAAACATTAGTATGTTGTATTTGTGGGGAGAATGTGTCCAGATAAAGACATGTTTGTCTGTGAGTTATATTGAAGCTGATGTGTGTACTTGTGTTTGAAATTGTCTCTACCAAGTCATTTTTAGTGTGTTTAATGTGTGTTATGAATCAACTAAACTTTACAGCACGTCACAGAAGCCTCCGCCGCCGACCAGTGTCTTGGAGGTGTAACTGCAGAGTGACACAGACACTCCACCGCACAAGTATAAATGCTCACAATGGTGTAGAAAACATGTGTGGGCTACAGCGTAGGATCTGCCACACAAGTATAAATAAGCAGCCTAATATTAACAGTAAAGTAGGAAAAAAGTAAAGACTCTTTAATTCTCATATTGACAGCTTATACACAACAACAGCATATTCCAATCCCTAAAAATCAGTTATGGCTTTTGGTTTTGGTGTGTCATTGCAAGATTTTCACTGGCCCCATCTGGCCACCCCTATGAAACATTTCTGGGAGCACCTCTGCAGCTTACAACTGAAGAGACTGAGGTTTTAAATAGTGAGCAGATCAGTCTGTAGAGGTCAGAGGTCAAAGGAAGCTCAGAATATTGCACAAGTGATCTTTTAAATATGCATCCCTTGGTCTGTGTTTGACAAATGAAAGCACACATGTGACAGGAGACTTACCTGTATGCTTTCGGAGGTCTCAGGATACCTTTTACTTGGTGATTGTTGTTGTTTGTCTGAGCTGAATCATCTTCGTAGGACAGAAGCAGAGTTACCACATAATTCATAGAGGAGTTATTGGCCCAGTAATCACCATCAGAGGTTTCATAGCGGACAACAAACTCAATGCGACAGCCGTGTGAGATGTAAGGTGGTGCAAAAGACAGCTTGAAGGAGAACTGATCAGTGTTTCCATCATGAGACCCCTGGACATACTCTGCTGGGTGGTCAAAGTAGGTGGCCCAGTTGTCCATGGTGGTTCTGATGTACACTGCTTTATTGAAGGAGATGTTGAGGACTCGTATAACCCCAGTGAAAGCAAGTGGCTCATTCTCTACAGGAGAGATCTGCTCCACCTCCACTTTGGTAGACTGCACAGCCTGCAGCAGGGCACTGCCGCTGGGCGCATTAAACTCTGGGTGCACATGATAAGTCGGCTTTCGCTCTGGCTTTCGATACTTTGCCTCCTCTTCCTCCCACTTCGCGCTGCCCTCTTCCTCGTCCGAATCGAAGGCAACGAATTCCTTCACATCCACCAGATCCCCACCTGTTGTATCGGCGAATGACACTCTCTTTCCGGCAGCCAGCGCCAGATGGATCCGCATGTACTCGGCGGTTTCATCGTGGATGGAGTGGCCTCGCTTTCTGGGCACCGGGGAGCATCTTGGGATGAGGCGGACGTTGGTGTCATCGTCTTCCTCATCATCATCATAATTCTCCTCGTCGTCCATGGGGGTTCTACCCTCTGCCTCCGCGGCTGCTGATTTGCCGGTTTTAATCGTGGTGAAAAGGCCCTCTTGTCTCGGTATGGATAAAAAAGACATGTTTGCAGAAGTGTACACTCATGGAAGCTGTGCGCTGAAGAGAGTACATATGGCGTCTCCAAAAACGCACTACCAAATACTCATTATTTACGCAGCAGTGCCCAGTGTAGATCCAGCGTTGTCCCTGCGTTACGCACAGAGCCTCCACTGTCAGCGTGTGGCGTTAAATGTCACCCATGGAATACATGACTTTTACTGCCAGCCCTTGTGATAGTGTATCCCCCGGTTTACATGACTTTATGCATCGCAGTTTGGCTGCTGTCGCGGAAGGAGCAGCCTCTAATTTTAGCTCTGACCTACAGGGTTCTCCATGCCCCAAATGTGTCTTTAAAGTTGGTATAATCCTGCGACTCCCCCTTGTTCTGTTTTGGTTCGGGCTGGCCAAACGCCCACTACAGTTGGAAACTGGATCTGTAATACATCAGCTTATTGCCAGTCTTTCTAAGATATGACACATTTAGACTGAGACACATCAGTATAGGCTTATATTTAAAACCTCTGCAGACACCATCAGGTAGAAATTATTATTTCAGAATAGAGTCTATTTCATCACCATGAAACTGTCATGATGAAAAGTCTCATACTTACAGGTCATCATAATTAATTAATATTGCACCATGTACCTATATTTATGAGTTAAAACCGGTGTTGGGGAGAAACTTACGAGTCATTAAATTACAAAATATATATATATTTTTTTTTTTTGAAAGATATTTTTCTGGGCATTTTTAGCCTTTAATTGACAGGACAGGTGAGTGTGAGGAGGGGAGAGAGAAAGGGGGAGTGACATGGAGCAAAGGGCCACGGGCTGGACTTGAACCCAGGCCGCTGCAGCAACAGCCTTGTACATGGGGCGCCTGTTCTATCCACTAAGCCACCGCCACCCCAAATTACAAAATAAATATAATTGTAATCTGTTACAGTTACTAAGAAAATTATGCAATTAAATTACAAAATAAATGTAATTGTAATCTGTTACAGCTACTGAGGAAAATCAAGTAATCAAATTACAGTTGCTAATTCAAAATATTGCTGATTATAAACAGGTTTAAATAAATAAAGGTCTGTATGTAAAATACTACATTTGTGCTGTTGCTTTGCATTTCTTTGTGTGCAGGAATACCTTCTTTTGACATTGCCTATTTCCCAGCCAACATCTGCTTGTATATGGGGCCCATATGGGTCATAAATGGATGGAAAATGTGCCCTATCTGGCAGTGGTTCCCAACAGGTGGGTCACAGTCCAAAGATGGGTCGCGGGTTCATTTTGGATGGACCGCAAGTGACTTGCGAACATGTCAAGTTTGTAAAAAACACACTTTATTTTGAAGTACCTACAGTGAATTTCTGACATAGAGCTTTTATTTTTAAGTGCCATTTACTGCTGTAGAGTAAATGAATAACGAGAAGCTTCTTAACAGAGACAGCAAACTAGCTCAATGACTAAACACAAGTGTGACGCTAAATGTATTAACTGTGGACCTTGAACTAATGACTAAGGAGAAATCTGGACCCCATGCCAGTTGGGAACCATTGCCACAGGTTCACCATTGCCCCTATGCCAATTGCCCACATGGCTGGGTTTACCCAAGTGGGCCCCAGATAGGATGCCCATTTCGGGCCCATACCCACTTCGTACCCACTTTGTACGGCCTAGCATAACCTATGTGGGGCCCACTTGATTAAACCAAACCATGTGGGCAACTGGCATGGGGCCAATATGGAACCCTTGGACAATCCCATATAGGGCCCAATTTTTAGCTCATTTACTACCCACATGGGCCCCACATACAGATGTTCACTAGACATTTTTTGCAGCTTTATAGCCCAGTTCAAAACATTTGTTGATAAAGTAGGCTAATCAAAAGGTAATCAAATTTAATCAGTTATAATGCTTTGATTTAGCAATTAAAATAGTTTCACTACTTAAAGGCCAACATTTATAACACTTTATTTTTTTTTTATTGTTTTTACAAAATGTTGCAAAAAGGTGAAGAAAAAATAGAATACAAAACAGAATGTGAACAAACAGAAATGAGTATGCAAAAAAAATAAATAAATAGAAAAGTCCATATTGCCCTGTCTCTCAAAAGCTACTCATATCTGCGACATAGTTACTGAGTCTCTCATCTTGTTGTTGACATGTAAACACTGTCCATTTCTCCCATTTCAAAAGCAACCTTTGCAACACTGGTTACAACATGCACCTGCTGCAGCTCTTAATTATTCACAGGCTTAATAGATCATGTTTGTTTAGTGTTTGTGCAAATTTAATGGACGCCACTGATGACAGTGTTGTCATCCAGTACACTAATGTTTGTTCATTCATCTGAACACTGACAGCAACAGCCTACTGTGAATGCTGTGATTGTTATGCAATGCCACTCATGCTGTACTGAAATATACCTCCTTTGTGGTAAAATTAAACCCCAGCCAAACATATAGGCCTCAGCCTGGACATTTGTGGATATAAAGATCATTTCATAGGGCTTTGAAAGGGGGAAACAACCAAACTGCATTAATCTGATAACAAAGCTCGTGTGTCCAAACCGTTCCTGGGAATAAACATGCTGCTGTTATCTAACGACATCATCACACAGGCGAGTGTTTACGCCTACCGCCCCCATTCAATTCACAGAGCCAAATCCTTGTTTACACGCAGCTTGTCATTTCAGGTCTTGAACTATGTTGTGATTAATAACACATTTCCTACATTAATAACCGCCTGTTCCAGATATGACCTCACATACAGGACGTTATGAGCTATGACGCAATCATGTAATACACAGTCTGTTTATGTATTGTCGGGTAAACATGTAAATATTATTTATATTTACTGACGTAAGGACGGTCTCACAACAACAGTATAGCTACACTTGCTCGCTGCGCAGTTAAACCAGCGCTACAGATAGATTACCGTGTAAACACACCCTTGTCGCTGATTGGTGGCGAGGTTTTAGCGCGGCGTGCCGTAACCAATCAGAGGATTGTTTTTCTCTCACGTCGGTGCACGGATAGTAAGCTAACGGATATTGCAAACATAAACTAATGTAAAGAGTTCGTGTTGTTTCTGAAGGCGGTATAGCACGGGAAGGTTTGTACACTTGGAGTTAGTCTTTTTTGCTGGGCTTTTATTCGGGAGAATGTGGAGCGGCCATTACAGCGAGGACACGCGCATTGGGTAACGTGAGCTAACGAGCGTTAGCAATAGCCTGCTAATTTTCAACGTTCCGCAAGGCCGCGGAGAAACGCAAGAGCTGCTTCCTGTTCTTGCTCCATTGAGAATGTAGGTTACGTTACGATTCGCGTTACAAAATCACACCGATTGCCTCAGTAGCCATTTCAGTGGTGTAATCTATTGCATTTAAGTTTGTTTTAGTCGGGCTTGCAGGCTAACCAAGCTTGTTAGCTATTCTGCTAGCTAGCTAGCATGAGTGAACTGACGGGCTGCAAACAGTCCGCTGACTCTGCATCGAGGAAACGGTGTCCATCACCCGACCATAATGAAAGCAGTAAGATCCCCTGCAAGTCCGCGAAAGTAAGTGACGCATCAAATGAAGCGGGGCTCACTTCAGAAAGTTGCAGGAACAGTGAAGCACAGACTAAAGAAATAGCCGGGAGCGAGGGCCAGTCAAGAGCTAGTGAGGGAGCTGCAGCTGCCGTGCAAGCGGATCAGGGTTCAGACAGAACAGATGGCACCAGTGCACTGCCTGTCAACAACTCCAGTGCTGACGGTCACGGTGCCAGCAACACAGAAAAGCCACAGTCCTCAGACGCACATGGGTCTGCACAGGCAAGGGGGGATACAGAGAAGACAGAGGGAGCAAAGCAGCGTCCTTCAGCTTCTCTGGACCAAACCGACTCAGCAGCCATAGCAGCTGCTGAAGCACTTGCCAGTCTCACAGGAGGAGACGGGGAAGACAGTCAAGAGACTCCTTGCTCATCTGAAAAGGCCAAACAGGTGAAACTGGGGAGCAAATTCAAGCAACGCGGGGGCCACCAGTCCTCAAGGACGGGCTCTAAAACTCAGGCAGCTGCTGCAGACAGCTCCACATCTGTGCACAGTACTGACAGAGAGGATGCAGATGAGATGCCAGAGGCAGATGAAGGTGATGAATCCATATCTGGATCGTCCTCCACTCCGAGCTCCTCTTTCCCATCAGACAATGAGGACAATGACGATGGGGAGTGTGCCATTGTGTCAGTTAAGATGGCCCCAGAGATGAGACAGTCGGTGGCTCTCCTGGCGCAGGTACAGATGAGGCTGGAAGCTCTTGAGAAGAAAAGCGCCCGGCTTCACCAACGGCTGGAGCTGAAGATCAGTCGTCAGCGGCGCCCACATCTGGATCAGCGCAGCTCCATCACAAAAACCATCCCTGGCTTCTGGGTGACGGCTGTATCCTTAAAATAAAAAAATGTCCCTCTTTTCCCATTCCTATGTTGTGTTTGAGAACTAAATATATGTTGGGTTTTTGCTTAACTTTGATGTTCCAGCTGTTGAACCATCCTCATCTCTCAGCTCACATTGACGAGACTGATGAAGATGCTCTTAGTTACATGACTGATCTCGAGGTAGGAAGTGTTTGTGTACTTAATAAGTTTGGCTCTTGTAAATGCCCTGCAGCAGAGTTCAGACATTTCCTGTTGTCTTTTCAGATTGAGTCCTTCAAGAATAATAAACTGGGCTACAGGATCCGCTTCCACTTCCGACGGAACCCGTACTTCCAGAATAACATCATCATGAAGGAGCTGCACCTCGGGATGGGAGGTAAAAATAAGCGCACGGTGATTAAGTCAAGCCATAATTATCATACATAATGAATGCACCATGTTAAGTCACACTTTGCAACATGGCACTGTAAAGGTCATGTGCACTGTAGAGCCAGGTGGTAATATGTATAATATATTGGCATATAATACTATAATAATATAACTGCCGTGTACATTTTGTTTTTATTTGGTACAAGTAAACAGTAAACTGAAACATTATATTTCAACCATGATACACTGAGTCATATTTGTGAATAAAAGGAACGACGCATTCTCTGGTGCAGCTGCCAAAAGATACTGAGAGTGACAAGTACACAGCCAGAAAACCACAAAGTTCAACTTGTAAAGTTCACGCCCACACTGACCAAACACTACAGCCCTGCAGTTAATGCCACAGCAAAGTGTGACTCTATTGTTGTTGTTTTGTTCTTTATGTACGTAAATATGGATGAACAGAATATTTATAACACATTTCAAAACAATACAGTTTCATACCACATCATCAGTGATGCTGAAGTGTGAGTTTTATTTTGT